ATTCGGAATGGCTACTCTTCATTAAACTATATGAACAGCTTCCACTTTTTTCAATGAGCATAAAATTCCAGATTTTTTCTATTTTTTACTTGATCATCCAGAGAGGGGGTGTTTAATTGTTTATTGCTGTTTATATGAGTGAATATTTAGCAGCCCTTCATACACAACGAAAAATTTTGTTAGTCCTAGTCTTCCATTTTCAACAGGGTATGATGTGGAAGGGGTAGCACAGGGAGTAACTACGGTAAGCAACCTCAGTAACAGAATGAATTATTACCGCTGCACAAACCCGAACAATTCCTAATTTTTGATCTTCAACTCTTTTTACAAGGTTTTTTCATACGACCCCAGAAACGACATTTCTCCAAGGAACTGGAGCTAAAAATGTCATCCAGACTCGTCTTTGTTCCGCTACACTCAAGTAATCAACTCCATTTGTGTTCAGTACATGAACTTCAACTTCCATGAGTATATTGATTCTGCCAGTTAGAAAGCATAGCTTCACAAAACTTCTTAATTTCTTTTGAATGCACTATAAGTTTTCAGCCTATGTCCAGAATTTTGCTTCCAAATAGTTGAAACATCTTACTTTGATCAAAACGATTATAAGAGGTTGCAGATTTGCTAGATCCTTTAAGCTTGCATGAGGAAAAAGAAAATTGGTCACTAAAAAAGTCACTTAAACTCTTTGGTCAACAGCATTCTTTGAACGGTATCAATTTTTATGTAGGTACAGACTGGCAGATGATTCAATTGAGGTCTCTAGAACATTAGACTGTATTTTGCTCATATATACTATGTATGCTACACATATATGCAATTCTACAGAATTCTGAATCGATGTACACAAGTTATCAGAAAAATGGAACTTGTAGAGTTTTTTATTCTTAGCTTTTGCTAAAGGATTTTTCTCAGACTAGTGTCATTGGATCTTTTGAGTCAACCCAGTATTTTATACTTTGATAGCGTATACTGATTGTTATGATTTTATGATAGAGTGTGGCTAAACAACAGCATTTTTAGAATTTTAAAGATTGTAAGAAAACGTTCCGCATTTTACACTATGATTGTCTCCCATTCAAAGTACTAAATAGTATATTTTCTTGAATATCCTACTTGAAAATTACTACGGCTGCCGCCAAAATTTTCGACTCAAAAAGTACGCAATTTCTCAGATCCAAAATTCCTAGCTCCAGTTTTGATTAATACTGCTCTCATTAAACAGCTTCAGCCGTTATTCGAAAATCGTTAAAGCTGTTGTTGGAACCGATAAGATGGATATTTTGCATTGCTAAAAAATTTATACTAAAACTAGCCCACTCAAGTAGAGGCGATGGCACGCAAAAATATTGATATATTGAATTATGACGTATGACATTTACCGCAGCCAACATGTCATCCTCAGAAGCTAAATTATTCCTGATTTTACGGCCTATCTAGCAAGAAAGAACTTCTTTTACTATCGAATTAGACTTACTTGCTGCATCTGACAAGATAGTATATGTTCGTATTCTGTTATTGTAAAAAAGATAAATATACAGTTCTCCATCACTTAGCTAGCACAATTTTGAAGATTTTTTCGGAATCCTAAATTCTATCAACCTACTTCCTTATCTATTAGGTCATTTTGATTTTGCTGACATTCATCTGCGTGGCTAAAACTTCACCTCTCTAAAGTATAATAGTAGTTCACTTGATTATTGGAATTCCCTTATGGCCGTTCTTCAAAAAGTATTGGATGAGTGATCAACTCTAGTCCTTGATGGATTTTTATCAGTCAAGAAAACTCAATAATTGATCAATAAAGATATCTTTTGTATCAGAGGTAGAAAATTATTTCAAGTCAACTACAATTCAGCTTTTGTTTTTCTTTGTTGTAAAGAATGAATTCAAAAAAGCAACAGTCAAAATAATTAAAGCAGAAACAAATTCAAAACAACGATGATGTTGAAATAGTGATATTAATATTGATGTTGTAACATCATTTTAGTAATACCGGGATAATAGACTGTTAGTATACTGAGGATAGTAATATAAACGATTATCCCGAATAAGCTTTATTTAGACTATAACATAAGCTCTGCACCCAAAAATTCCAAAAAAAAAATCGTTTAAAAATGCTCAAGCAATCATTCTCAGTCTGTGAAACGTTTTGTTCGCTGTACATGATATATGCAGTATTTAATCATGTTTTAAACTGAATACAGTAGTATTCGAGAAAAGAAATTTGGAAATAACAACTTTTCATAAAGTTATCTTGCCTAGTAAAAGAGAGTAGGCCTCTTCGCCTGAGGTAAATCTCAATCAAAAAGTAATTTCATTTTCGAAAATCAAGAAAATTCAATTTGGTAGTTTGTGTTTATCGACCTTCATATTCAATCCGTTCTTCCAATAATTCAAGGGGTTGATTACGGGGACGCGGATTTTGGATTTTGCCGATTTTGAAACTTCCTTGGGAACTACTGATCTAAGCCCTGAAACCGGATAGTGTAAAAAAAACAAAAAACATTGAAATTCTTGTGTTCCTATCTACCTTTTTCTCAAATGCTTTTTATTAAAAAACACAAAAACTGTGTTATCAGAATCTGCCAAACATTTTAACAATTTTCATTTTCGAAAATCAATCAATTTGGTAGTTTGTGTTTATCGATCTTCATATTCACTCCGTGTTTACAAAAAATTTTTTGAGCACTGTTAGGCCCCGGACAGACTTCACGCGATTTGATCGTCGCGACTCAATCGCCGACATTTCCATTCATTTTCATTTCACATTCAAAAATTTCGGGCTGGAAAACCGAAATGCAAGTTGATCGGCATGGAATGATGTTGTAACAGTTGTCTCGTCGCGATTCAGTCGCGACGATCAAATCGCGTGAAGTCTGTCCGGGGCCTTAGGAAGCGCATTTTCTCTCTCGATCATTTATTACTTCAAGATTAACTTTATTTGAATGAACTTAATTTTCGAAATTTCAAAAATTTGGTGCAAAACTTACATTACAACCTAGTACATCTTTTGATAGCATAATTTTTATGACTCAACTTTGGAGTTGGCAAAGTGTCAGACAATAACTAATATTTGAAAAATTTCCTATCGCCGCTGATGCCTCATGCCTCGTTTTGAGACCCAAACTGTTTCTAGCTATCAATAACGACAAAGTCTGCGTGGAACTCGGGCCAGCACGAGAAATTTCCGTTAACGACTTTTCACTTTCTAACGTTCACGAGCAAATTCAATAGAGTCTCTCTGCACAATTTGATGCTTTTTTGCACAAAATAATGTAACGGTGAAAATCACGAAATCGGAAGGTTTTTCGCTTTTTTCGAATCGACGCACATAGGTTGAATACGTTTCCGGCGAAGGTCTTTCCAGTAATTCTTGGCATTTTTGCAACTTTTGCTTTTCCACTTCAAAGGGTGAATTATGGGGGCGCGGGTTTTGAGTCTATTCTAAAATTTTCTATAAGATTTTTTCAGGGATATGCAGCTATTGGAATGTTGGAGTTTTTATAGCTGAAAGACATTGATGACATTATTATAATTGCTACATGCAAATAAAAAATCTGGCAATAATCCAATTCCATTTCTTGGGTAATCAAACTGTATGTGGTTGCAGTTGTAATTGCTTAATAATTAAGAAAAATATGAACAAGAAGAATGAGAGGAATTTTGAGGGAATGGATTGTAGAGTATGGAATTGTGAAAATTTTGAGTAGAATCTTGTTAAGCAAGTAAGAAAAAATGCATAAATTTTTTACTTGCTTAACAAATAAACTTTCCTACTTCTTAAGTTCTGAAGGAGTAATTTTTGCTAAATTCACGACACATGAGAGATCCAGTTTTTGAATTTTTCAAAAATTGCCTTGCGTTTTCAAAGACCTCCGAACCGTCCTGTACTGCCCAGTACTCCCGAAAATCTATGGATTCAAAGAATAAATGAGAAAAATAAGGGAATCCCAGATGTATGAAGGAAAAATGAATATTAGAACGACGATAAAGAATTATTATTATTTCGCTGTACTTCATCATTGCTGACGTAAAAATGAGATCTTTACCAATTAAGAAAGGTTTTCGTCTTTGCCTTACTTATCCGAGGTATGAAAATGTACCAACTTCCAGAATGTTCTCTTTCAGAAGAAGGGGCAAAGGAAGAGTTACAAGAACTCATGTGCCAACTCTAATAGAGTTAAGATCTTTCACGGAGTGCCGGAGCAAATATGGAAAAGTCAATGCACTGGCAATGGGGACTCTACCTCCCTTCTCTTATCCTTCCTTGGGGAATAAAGTGTGGAATGGGGAGAAAGCTACAGTTTTGGGAGAAGAGGAAAGGGGTGTTACTATTTACCACAGAAGAGAGGCAGATTCAAATTACTACGGCCACATCGCAAATCAGAATACAATAGCAGGAAGATTCTATCCCAAAATGGTTAGATTGACAAAATCTCAGTTTATTCTCTTCCTAAGTTTTGTTTTTCCCTGTAATGGATGTACAAACGAGTAATTTGTAATAGAATACAAGTTTTCTCTATTTAACGAAAAAAGTTATAACTTACTATTGTGAATTTTTGTAATCAGAAAGTTGAAAACTTCTAACACATGCTTCACGAAAAATTTGAAGTATATTTCTTCTTTGCGCCTTTTTTCCTTGAAAAAATTTAAGCAAGGTGCCTGCTGAATCTTTATAACTATTTCTAATAAGCAGAAATTGGACAATATTGTCTGTGACTTCCTACAAGACCTTCTTGAAAGACCGAATTACTCATCCACGAACCCAATATATCCACTTTACGAGTACCCTACCTCCTCCTACCCCTCAGTGCCCTACCTCCTCCTACCCCTCCATCTCTTCCTCCACGACTTTGAAGTTCATACACTTTCGCCAAAATGAGTCCGTACCCGACCGACTAACCAACAATATACGTTATATCTTGACGTATTACTTGGATGCCGTAATCTTTGTCGCAAAAAATGACCACGAAAATACTAATGACTTTTCAACCAACCTGCAAATGTCAAGGGAAATAGTACGACTAGCGAATATAAGGCAAGCATCGTTGTGCTATAGGAGAGCGAAGGGATGAGCACTCTCGGAGAAGAAGAATATCTCGGGTGGAAGATGGCTGGTTGGCTGATCGTCCTGGAGAGCGGCTGAGGGGGTGGATCGCGCGCGCAGGGATACGTGACCACTGTCGGCGGGATATATGTAGACACAAAAGAATCCAAATGTGAATCACTCATGAGAAATGTGCGTGATCGTTTCTCACCGCATGCATATCCTATTTGGTACAAATCACAGAGATAAGAAAGAACAATGCAACAATAGCGATACATCGCGAAGCGGCGAAAAAAGCGGGCGCGAGTCGCGCCGCGCCAGCCGCGCTGCGGCCTTGATGCGCACGCGCGCTGATCTCGACTAGCCGTTTGTGATAGAACGGAGAGACAACGTTGGTGATTTATTAGGACAACAATTCAGGTCGAAGATGTTTCCGGGTGTAAGCGATCACCTTCGCTTCGCATCGCTGAATCGGGTTTTGAAAGCGAATCCCGAGAGCGTAAAATAGGTGAAAGCGCTTCCCGGATGATTTTGAGACCGAAACTGGTTTTGAAATGGATTTAATTCCAGTGATAAGGTTGAGACATCCTTCTAAAAAAACATTGTTGAAACTCAAATAATCATAGAAAACTACATAGCTCGTAACAACAATTTCAACAAAAATCATTCTTTTCTCAAGAAAAGAGTTTCGAAAAATTTTCAACAGATTTTCCCATTCTTCTCTGCAATATAAAATTTATTGTAGAAATTTTGCACGCAACATGGAATCGCCTTCTTTTTTTGGAGGCACCTTGCCAAATGTTTCGTCAAAATCAGATTTTTCTACAAGTATCATCCCACTGCATGATTTGATTTTTATAGTTTCATTTTCGATCAAATGTCCACTTTTGGATAGACACCTAAAAAATGTTCTAAATTTTCCTTTTCACCATTTTCCATGATTCATTCCTACCAGGAAGAGATAAGGACATTGTAGGTCCAGAAATGAGCGAGTCATATACAATTTCATAAATGAGCTGTGCCAATTAGCATTTTGATTTCGAGAATTCAATAAAAATTATATTGATCTACTTTGATTTTGAAAGATCCCCCTCAAATGCTATCTATTGGCTTCGTTCTCTTTCCATCTAGACCCTGTACCTTGAAATTGACATTTTTTTAGAGATTAATCCAATAGCCAAATTTATTCGAAGAACGAAAACAACATAGAATAATCAAACCTCAATTATACTGCAAAAAAAAACTTGAGTGACCGACTGTCGATAACACGCAGAATTTTAGATTTTCTGAATTACCGATTGGCTATCGAAGATTTGTTCGTTTCGGTCCAAAGGTATTTTCTACCGTATTGATTTACCTGGTTGGACCCGCTTATGTTTTTTGGAAGTTCCCAGTAAGGAAAAGTTCGCATCTGAAAGCTCTTTTTACGGAGCCTTAGAAACTGGTTTCAGAAATGTCATCTATGATCTAAACTGTAGGTTTTGGTCAATGTGCTGGTACTTTTTATTTTTAGTGCTCTAATCATCTCCTATCTCTCGCCGCAAAAGTAATTCATCAAAAATATCTTGTAAGTAAATTTTTTCTAGCAAATTGTACGCTAATTGGATATGTTTGGAACTCAGTCTCTTTGCAAAAATGTATCGCGCCCATAACATAGTCTTACTTCATCAGTAATTTTCCTAGGCCGTGTCTTTGCTAGTTTTTCCGCGAAATTCCTACACTTTACTTTCTAGTTACCCTCCAATTGTCATGTTCCGCCGCCTTTCGATTACCTGTTACAATCAGGATCTGTTTTCTTTCGTTGTAGGTACAGATTGCACTCGTCGGCCGTTAATATCGTTCGCCCTTGGAATGCATATCAATGATGCACATCGCCCCGATGTCAATAGCAACAGGTACGATAGATATTATAGTTTTTCGGCGGGGTTGGACGAGAACCCGGGACCGGGTTGGGTATTGGGAGCTAGGAGACTGATGAGGAGTGTTTGGGGAAATTTGCGGATTCTAATGGGTAAAAGGCTCTGTGTGAGAGGAAGGTTGTAGTGAAATCCCCAAATCATTCAAAAAAAACTTGCAATTTGAGAAACCCAATCTTTGGGTCTAGTTTTCACTTCAATTTCTTCTTTCTGTATCATCTTAATTACCCACTATCACCATTAATTACCCATGTTTACGTTCCCAAACAACAGTCCCTGCACTGGACGAGTTTTCCGCTTTTTCTTGTCTTCCATAGAATCCTACGATTAGATACGGGATAAATGACGAACACATGTGATATCCCAGCCAACAGCTGTCCTCCTAATTTGGACTTGCTTTGGACTGGTTTGAGCTTTGGCGTTTGCATCGAAGACCATAAATAACGATCATAAATTCCTCCTATAAAGGGTTAAAGATTTCGAATTTTGAGAGGAAAAAATAGAGAAATGAATAATATGATGTGCATAGTTTTGCACTTATTTTATGAATAAAGATCCAGAAGAACATGAATCACATTTACAAGCTTTTGATCATAAATATTAAATTTCCATGACTGACACCTTACTAGAAACATCCAGATTGAATCTTCAAAAATTTTATGATCATCGCTCCCGAAAAGGGGATCTATTTTTTCGAAAGCTAATTGTTATATGAATTTTTGCGATTGATTTGTTTTCACTTCTAAAAAAATTTGTAATTTTTTTCGAAAATTTGAAATATGTAAAAAAATTGGAGACGTACCCTTTGATTCAACTGAGTGGAAGGCGGGGTTTCGTGACATAATCAAGGCTAGAGAATGATCAGAGAGCAGAGACGCAGACTGCGCCGAGGGCGCAAGCGGCCTTAATTAGGCCACGAAACCCCGCCTCCCAGCCGCCAATCTAGTTGAAAAAAGGTTAGATAGCGCTTCTCCCCAAAAAATTTCCGCCAAGCTTCTCTCTTTTCTTCCAGACCAGAACTTATAAAAGCATTCCAAAACTTTTGGGGAGCTTCACGCCACGTCCCTTCCCTAAAAAAATGCTGTCGCCCCTTCCCTATAGTCCGAAGAGATTTCACCGCCACCGGTTACTTTCCTGAGCGTGGATAAGAACTGGAAGAAATTATTAGGGGATGACTGTAGGGAATAAGCGACAATAATTTTTCAAAACAGTGCTGATGGAAATATGACCTGACATGCGCAATTTGACAGAAATCGTTGGCTAATTCATGGAAAACACGAAATTTTACGTTTTGCGCCTATTTGGGATAGGGGGGGAGGAGGAGGACCTTCGTAGCTTTTCTCAGATTTTCTTAGGTTACAAGAGAACTTTGCAAAGTAGAAACAAGGCTCATGGAATTGCTTGAAAAAGTGGAAATTCTATTTCACATTTCCAGTTTTTTTTGCTGTCTGAAATACGTGGAGTGCATACCAATTCCCAAAAATTTCCACTTGGTTGGAAGTTTTCAGGAATACTAAGTTAAAGGCCGACCTTGGCTACTTCCTCTAGCGCTCGGCACAATATAAAATGCTCATTTGCCTGGAAGCAAATTTCTTGCATAGCAATTTGTGCGTCTTCTTCCCGTAGAGCATATTGCATATGTAAATTGGCGTCAATCTCGTACTGCTGCAGCCTAGGTTGACCTCAGTGCTGGCTAAAAAAGCTAGCTTGAATTCACATTTCATTGTAATTCCTTATTTGTTTCTTTGACTTATTTATTACAGTGTAATGTTCGAAAAACAACAATTTTTTGTACATTTTTGAGTCTCAGCGGTTGCATGCGAAGTTCGTAGGAATGTCTTCATCAGCCATAGAACTTGGAACAAAACGTGATAGAGTCGTTTTCAATAATTACAGATGCATTCAAAATTAAATTTTTTTTCAGTTATCGTTTGTCCCTTCATCCTTTCAGAATCATAAATCGTATTCTTTCTATTATTAGCGAGGCAAGTTACTATTCGGGAAAGCAGAGGATCTGCACGATGCTTTCTAAAGACAAAGCTCGAGTCACGTAAAGTTTGTAGCCAAAATCCAAAGATATCTGATTCAGATTTGGATTTTAGCCGTAAGAAATTCTAAAGACCACGCAATTGCTCTGTTCTCGCTAGACCTTTACTATTTAAGCTGTTCTGACTCTCGATTTCTAGCAATTCATCTCTAAAATGCTAGAAATCGAGAATCAGAAACAAAGCAAAAGACAATCTCTTTATTTGTTTTCATTTTGTAGTAATTTCAATGTTTTTCACAATCGGCGCACAGCTCAGCTCGAGTTGAGGTGAACACCTTCTGAAGGGAGAAGAGGGTGAAGTTAAGGCGGGAAACCTCCGAAAAACTCTGAACGATGTCAAAACTTCAGCACAAACAAAATTTGTACCATCAATTTGGAAAGATTGTCTTCGTTCAGAGTGGTCCACGCTGACAACATCAAGATGCCTAACAAGTTACGGTAGCAGGCCTGGATTACTGTAGCCCATATATATTAACGAGCCCATGCTTCACTTATTTTCAGCGTGATTAGCGTGCCGGGAATAAAATTTGTCTACATACTCGGTAATAGTTGGCTCTTGAAGTTGACTTTTTTTGGGAACATAAGTTCGCAAAGAACGACAACATTATGGAGAAGATAAGAGTGCTGACTATTTCTTGTTTTTCTGAACGCTTGGATTCACCGAAGGCTCAGGCTTTGTACGTAAGCACATTCGACCACAAAGCATTTTGTGCTGAGGACGAAATACTTCGTAGTCGAGACACATGGATTTCCAACACACTGATTCTATCCCTCCTTTTTACATTCGTTATCATTCAGTTTGCATGTTCTGTTCAATTCATAAGCAACTGAATAAATGCCGAATAAGTTTGCATCTCTTATAATGACTCCACCAACTCCATACAACTGTGTATTATAAAGGGAACGCAGGAAGTCCGCGATTACGTACAACTTTGTATCGGAGAAACTTCATGTTAAAAAGTGTCATGTTTATGCAGCGAAACATTCCTTTCTTAACCACTTCAATATACGCAACATCTCATAAGATTTCTTTTTG